CATGCTCAAGGGTTGTTTCCACATTACCAGAATCTCTACCAGTCTGCCAGTGGCCTCCCCGCCTTCAGCCTCCCCCCGCCTGTCAGTCTTAATACTGTTTTATACATGTTGTTTCCTGTTCAGAAATTTTCGGTGGCTCCCCAGTAACGCACAGATATAGATCCAAATTATTTAGCCTAGCCTTTAAGGCCCTCCACCACCTAGCTGCTCCCTCTACCTCCTACTGTGTGCCCGCAACCCCTCCATGGAGTAAGATGGACTGATTCCGCTCCTGACTCGCTGAGTGAATTTAGACAAACGCTTTTCCTCTATGGGAAAGCATAATACAGCATGAGCAGCTACCACTTCCTGAGAGCCCAGCAGCCAGGCTCTGTGTCAGGCACACATCTCAGTGGATTCTCGAAATAAGCCTGCAGTTGAATACTATCAAAATTCCTATTTCACAGATGAAGAAACTGAGGTTCAGGAAGTACGTTGCTTGAGTCACGCAAGAAAACTTTGTGCTAAAGCCTGGGCTTGATCCCGGCACTCTGACACAACCGCCTTCCCTCTGCTATATACAAACCTCCCTAAAATAGCTTTCATTTTCTGGGACACGTGCTATTTTCCAGGAACTGTGCCGAGCACTTTGCATCCATTTATCTCCTTGAGTCCTGGCTCCCTCTCATCATAATCTTACCTTAAATGTCACCTCTTTGAGATGTCTTTGGAGGCTTCTCCCTTCACATCACCCACTGGCTCACTTAGTTCCTTCGTAACACTGATTATGAAAAACCCATGCGTCTGCTTAGTTGTACACTTTCTGTCTCCCTGTTGCAGAACTTAAGCTTCCTGAGGGCCGGGACCTGAGGGGTCTAGTCCAGGGCTGTGTCCCCAACACCTCTGGCACATAGTAGGCACAATAAGTATTTGTTCAGTACATGAGTGACCCCTGATAACAACTGTGTAGAGTATACACCATGCCAGCTGTGTTTTACAGAGGAGGAAACTGAGGCCCAGACATGAAACAACTTGCACAGAGTCCCAGAGTCAGTGGGTAATGGGGCAAGGATTCAAACCAAGTAGGAAGACTCCAGAACCTTCTGTGATGAGTCCTAAGGGCCCTTCCAACTCAAAACTTGGAAGTGTGGACACCCTTGGTCTTTATCTGGCAGATGACAGAGGGTCTGTGGTTCTCCTGGGCCCCGGTACCAACCCTGTGATTCAGTGGGGCGGACTGGGAAGGAAGGCCTTTTGCTTGTTTTCACTCTTTCTCCAGGAGAGTGCAGAGGTTGGACCCCTGTCGAGGCCAGGCTGACGGGGATTAGAGGAAACAGCTGGCCTGCGCTGGTGCCCTGCCTGCGGGAGGGAGCTCACATTCCCCAGCCTCAGGGAGGGAGCAGCTCCCCACAGCCCGTCACATTCCAGGTCGGTCATTTTCCTGAGCCCAGATGTTTGCTAATGAGCTGGGGAGAGAGGCTTTCAGCCCTCTACCCCAGCTCTGGGCCCCACACTACCTCGGCCCCAAGAGGCTGGCTCAGGGCCAACAGGCTCTGGCTTCAGTCCCGTGCCCTGTGCCAGCCAGGCCTGTTGGGGCAACTGGCATACCGCTGCCAACCAGGTGCATCTCCGTGAGCTTGGAGACTCCAACGTGACAGGTTCTGCCTTTTCCGCTGGGGCCCCACCACCCTGGATCCCGGTAGTGCACCCTGGATCCCTGTGTGGGGAGGGGCTCTGAGGCCACTGCAAGGGTGGTGAACAGAGGAGCACAGGCTTTGGAGCGGACGGGTCTGGGTTCAAGTCTCGGTTTTGTCGGTCATTAGCCATGTGATCTTGGGCAGGGAACTAAACTTGGATGCCTTGACTTTTCTCACCTGTAAAATGGGAATAATGATGCAATTGTGGTAAGGCTTTGATAGTGCTTAGCATTAGCATCACGCCTGGCACATAATGGCAGCTGTTGACATTATTAACAAGTCACCTTCCAGACCCCCTGCCCACATTGTAGCCCTCCTGTAATTATTAGTCTACACCAGACAGGTGTGACTCAACTCCAAACCCATATCCTTGATTAAACAGCTGGGAATGTTCTAGGATCTCCCTGCATTTGGGAGAGTGATGGCTGAACTGTCCAGGGCTTCTATTCCTGGCTCTCTGTGAGATCTGACAATCTCATTAGGCAACACAATTAGCTTCCTACAGTGCTGGAGTAGATTCTTACAAAATGTAGACATTCATGCCCCACCCTACCGGGGTCCACATTGAGAATGGTGGGGGTAAGCAAAATGGTAACTATTTCTTAAGCACTTGCTGCGTGCAATGCGGCGAGGTTGGGCTCTGTGGGATGCGGTCATCCACCAGACAGTAGCTGGTTATCGCCTCTTACTGTGTGACTTAGGCCAGCTACCTCACCTCTCTGTAGGTCTTGGTGTTTTTCGCTTATGAAACGGGGATAACAATACTGTTTATTTCATAGATGTATTGTGTGGGTGGAACATTTTAGAATGGGACCAGACACACAGTGAGGTGCTCAATATACGTATGCTATTATGACTATTATTGTTATCCTCATGGAAGCACTTACCGATGGGGGATAATACTGCATTCAACCAAATATATTGTACACCTTGTCTGTCTCCACCTTAAGCGCTGGGGACGCTGTGATCCGTGTGATCCTTGACCTCAAGGAGCCCATGATCTAGTGGAGGAAAGATCTTCTCAACTAAAGGGAAAGCATTAACAGGTAGGTAATCCCCTGCCCCAGGATCACACCGGAAGAGGAAGTTTCTGGCACCTGAGGGGCTTGGGAAGGCTACCCAATCTGGTGCTTGAAGAACACTTTTACCAGATGAAAGGCGGGGAAGGGACCCGCAGGCAGAGGGAACAGCATGAGCAAGTTTTAGGAGACATGGAGATGCACGCTGGGCTTGGAGAGCCCAGACTGGCCGAGTACACCATGGAGTTATCAGCAGGCCACTAGGAGCCACCCCGGATGCCCAGCAACCTCCTGCCATCACATGAGCGAGACTGCGATAGTCTGGGAGCTTCCAGCCAGGCTGGACACGGACAACTAGGATAAGAAAGCAAATCTCCAAGTCCCAGGATTGTGTCCTCGGCTTCTACTTTCCAAGAGCAAAGCTCTTTTCTCACTCCACTGGGCACACGTAACAAAGAAGGCACGACTGCAAACCACTCAAGTGCCCAAGTGCAGAGGGATTAGCTGGGTGGCCCCCACCCCAGGTGCGGCTGGGCGCTGGGCCGGGTGCTCTGCTCTTCTTCCCAGGAGCCACAGAATTAAGTCCACTTCCTGGCGCCCTCGTTCTGAATAGTCCTTCCTGGGGCTCTCAGACCCCTCTCTGGATGCTTAAGCCAAGTGCCTGAGTTGAGGGGAGGCTTGGCGGAGGGCGAGTGACACTAAGGTACTGAGATTGCAGGGCTCACCCAGGTCGCATGCCGGGGGCCAGATAGGCTGGGCGCGCCGGACCGCGGAGTGAAGACAGTCTCCTGGTGTCCGGACTCCGTGGACTGGAGGGCCACACCCTCGGAGCAAGATTGCGGTGCCTGGTTCCCCCATAAAGGAACACCTCCATCTTGGCCACCCCGAGGCCTGGGACGGCCTGACGGCCGCGTCTCGGGACAAGTTACGCGGAGAGAAGTCGGAGCGCAGAGAAGCCCGGCGGAGGGCACCGTGCTCTCGGCCCTGGCCTTAGGGCGCCGCCGCGCCGTCGGTCCGCGCGGAGGGCCGGCCCGTGGCGCGCGGGCAGGCGGGGAGAAGGGGCCGGGGCCCCGGGCGGCCGAGGCGCCCCCTCCTGCGCGCGCGAAGGGAGCGGCCGGCGCGCCCGCCCGCTCTTTCTGGTTCGCACCCTCCCTCCGCTGCCCCCGCCCTCGCTCCCTATTTGGAGCGGAGACACCCCTGACGTCGGAGCCGCTCGCTCGCCGCTGCCTCGCACCGCGCGCCTGCTCGGGGCCGCAGACGGCGCGCCGCGCAGCCCAGTCGAGCCTCTCCTGACTCGCTGAGTGAATTTAGACAAACGCTTTTCCTCTATGGGAAAGCATAATACAGCATGAGCAGCTACCACTTCCTGAGAGCCCAGCAGCCAG